TCTAATTAATCAATGACCACCTTGTATTTGAGAAAAAATTAGTGGCAATATAAGTAGAACTTTCATATGTAACACTTTTTTTTTTTTTTTTGTAACTCTTTCTTCAATCATGTGATGAAAGAAATAAAGAAAAAACAAATTGGAACATAAAATATGTGAGATTTTCGATGCATATCTTGTATGCATCTCCAAATACATATAGCGTGTTGAGTTTGAGATTTGATTTGATTTTGTTTTTTGGTCGTTGGGTTGTTAATAATAGAAAATAATGGGATCAAACTTAGACATTAATTATAATCAAATGATTGATAATTCCAACTAGAAGGGAGAAGAAATGACCAGAATATGATCATAATCTTTGTATAATCTAATCTCAAAGTCAATATTTTTGTGGGGATGGGATGGTCATTAACTACTCTCTTCCCGTACGCGTGAAGTTTGGCACAAAATATTTATTAAGACCAATGCATTTCACGTTACATATTTTATATGCCTTTCAATTTCATCAGCTGCAATCTCCTAATTATTTCTACGTACCAGGGATTGAATTTAGACTTTTTATACATTTTGAAAATAAAATTAGAAACTTCACCAAGCAATTTCATTTCATTTATCAGTATTATCCACTCACTCATTTTTATTTTTTACGCACTTCATGTTAATTTATGTCTTTTGATCATTTTTAATTTATTTGATATGACAAACGAAATTTAAAAGATATATAAAAAGATATAAAGGGGTCCCAAAAAATATTGCTTGCATACCCCGTAAATTAGTTTTAACTTTTTGGATGTTGGGTCTTTGGACTTGTTCCGCTTGGCTTGGCTTGACTTGACTTTTAGTTCGTCTCTTTTTATTTTTATATTTTCGTTGTTGTTACTAGTCGAGTTCCCATTAGTGGTCTTTGAGATTTGGTTCCCATTTACACACAAACTAGAGAATTTTCCATATTCGGAATGGTAAACTACTTTTTTTTTTTTTTTTAAATGTTAAATTATTATTTTTTAATAAAAGCAACGATGTGATATTGTATTGATAGCGATTCAAAAGCAACAGCAGATTACATAGACAAAGAAAACTCTCATAGAACTAAATGCTACTGTTAGTCAACAAAACATCAAGAGGTTGTTCGAACCAAGCACACTCGCGCGGGAAGGATAGGGCATAACGAGCAAGACGGTGATCATATGATGTGTGAGCTGCAATAATAAAGCTTAATTAATATCATTATAGTATCATATTGACCGTGACCATAATGATGTGTGTATTTGGAGCATATACCTTGTACCTGCTTTTTGCTTGGTAAACCATTGAAATTGAAGAAGAAACCAGACTCAACCACCCCGTTTTGCACTGATTAATTAATTGGACCTCAAATCAAAGCCCTTAATCTCGATAAATTTTTAGTTGTGATGGGAATACGTATGGTACATCACATGTTTTTATGCAAGTAATGGAAAATTTTAATTTTTAAGTTATTAAGCTTTCAACACATATAACCCACTATTTATATAAAGACACATGATGTACTACCTCGTGTGACTGTCATACTGAAAAAGCTCTCCTTAATCTCTACATTAAGTAATAATTGTTTTGGATTTGACAGTGTAGCTGTCGCTGTGTATTAGCAGAGAAGTGCGCACCATGCGAAACACACTTGGGATTGAAATTGTACCAAAACCAGAAAGGAGGTGCGTCTGATTAATTTCTTATAAAAGTGGACAAATGGCATCGACATTTCTCCATCATGGTCGGTGAGTCACTAAATCGTGCAACAGAGGGCACGCACCGGCACACCTCTAAAATAAGAAAACCCAATGCTAATAGTAATCACGCTAATTATTAGTGTTCAAGTGATAATGAGTGAATATCTAATCGTGAAAAAGAACAGTAAGACACTTAAAATGTTACTGGAAGTATAATGAATTCTTCACGATAATGATTAAATAGCTAATTGATATATGATTTGGACAAATTTTGTAAAAATAATATTTGAATGAATCATTGAAAAACTAAGTGGTTGCCAATATCGAATTGCCCGGATCTTCCTTTTCAATTTACTGTGATCCAAACTCAAATTTTATTTAGTATAAATTAAAAGAGTTAAATCACTTGCTATTAAAATAAATAAAGTGTTTAAACCTTTAAAAAAAAAAATTGTAAAGTGGCATGAAATATTACGGGTTAATAAAGTATTAAATGATTAATTTAATTAGCACTTGAACGCTCATTTCACAGTAATAATCATTGACAAATATATGCTAAGAAGACTCGTTATAAACTCTATGCTACCTCATTTTTTTACACAATTAATGACACACCCCGTCCTGAAGGAGAGCATGCTGGCTGTCACGTGAGAGTGACGTAACCATTTACACAGTTCGGAAGCTTTAAAAAATACAATTACTAAGATGAAATACCCGAGGGTGAGTCATACTTTTGTGAATTCTGTCAGAACACCGTTGGATTCCTCGTGGCCACCAAAGTTCTGCTATCTAGAACCTGGAGGGGGCGCAAAACAAAGTTGAGTGGGTCAGTAAAACAAAGTTTTTCGAAAACATTTCATTTAAAACATTTCTAACCCCTCGCTGTAAAACTTGTATACTTTTCCAGAAAATAACATAATAGCATATACCTTCAAATATATCAAATCATCAATCTTTATCAAAACCAGAAAGTATGCCATGCATGCATATTATGAAATATATGAATTGATAATTGATGCATATATATATGTGAATTGGTGTTGTGGACGCACATGTGAGTATCAGGTGAGTTTTATGTTATTCATGTGAATCATTGATGATGTGAATTGTGTTGAGAGCTCATAACCTACATCCCTGGTGTTAGTGCTTATATTATTCACCGCACCGCATGCTCACCTTAGATCCAAGTAGGTGCATGTCGTACAGACCGATAGAGGGTTCCGACATGCTAGTTGTACAGACCACTAGAGGTGGTTCCGACTGGTAGGTAACCTTAGATTACGTGCACAGATGATTGATGAGAGAAGCACTAGAGCGTATTTGTGGAATGGTAAGCCCAAAGCGGACAATATCGTGCTACGGTGGTGGATTGGGCCCGGGAAGTGGTCCGCCCCGGGCCGGGATGTGACAATTTGGTATCAGAGCCTAACCTTGGTCGTGGTGTGCTGACGAGGACGTCGGGCCCTTAAGGGGGGTGGATTGTGGCATCCCACATCGCCCAGGGGAGTGATCCTTAAATGTATATTCTCATCCTTACCTAGCACGAGGCATTTTGGGAGCTCACTGACTTCGGGTTCCGTAGGAACTCCGAAGTTAAGCGAGAATGAGGCCAGAGCACTCCCAGGATGGGTGACCCATTGGGAAATTGCTCGTGAGTTCCCAAAAACAAAACCGTGAGGGAATGGTAAGCCCAAAGCGGACAATATCGTGCTACGGTGGTGGATTGGGCTCAGGAAGTGGTCCGCCCCGGGTCGGGATGTGACAATTCGTTTGGTATCAGAGCTTCCTGAAAAGCTATCCAAAACTTAGAAGTAAATCTTAGATCTCGATCAGATATAATATTCACTGGAACTCCATGATACTTCACAATCTTCGTGATGAACAACTTAGCCAATTTTTTCAAAGGATACTTTTCCCTCACTGGAATGAAGTGTGCTGACTTAGTAAGCCAATCTACAATCACCCAAACACCATCAAATCCATTTCGTCACGTGACAGCCAGCAAGCCCTCATTCGGGACGGGGTGTGTCAATTAATATATAATATTTTTATCTAAATTGAAGTTGTCTGTGAATTGACAGAAAATTTATTAAAAAAAAATCATACTTTTAAGAGCGAAGTTGGCATTTTTCTAACTAAGAGCATATAACAGTAAAAAAAGATAGCTACTAATTGTTTCCAACCGAAATGTCAAATCATATGTGGCATGACATGAAATGGCAGCAAATGAGCTTGGTGTCAAATTTGACAGCAACTACAAATTTTTTTTCACTAATTATTAAATGTCTTTTATTAATATTTTAATATAATTTATTATTTGATATTTCAATTCAATTTGTATATTATAGCCGTTAGTACATATTACCAATGCAATGTTTAATTTCTTTATTGTTAGTTGAATGAATTTAAAGTATAAGACATAAATAAAGAAAAAAATAATAATGTGATAAAATAATAATTTAATTTGACATATCAAATGAAGAGAAAAACGTACAAATATGTCTAAATACCATATAAATTATCAAATTTAAATTTTATATTTAAAATTTGATACCTTCTTTAAAGATGGTTTAATGCAGCCAAAAATACATAGATACCAACAAAAAAATAAGGTTAGAATTGCAGGAACAAGCAATGAGATTTGACTACGTGTCAATATTCGAGTGTGGAACCGTCTAGTACCTGACCACCAAAGGTTTTTGGACCGGCCCTGCAAGTAAAAGTTGAGTATCACATCCTCCTGGCTGGCTGCCAATGAGTCAGCCACACCGAATTCCATGTTTTTGACACGACAAGTCTTTATTTATTAGTGTGACTATTTGTCTTTTTTAACATGGCTTCACTTTTTATCATATTTTTAATTCATACACAAGTGATATATATTAAATTAATTCAAACTATAGAGACGAAGATTCAATAAATATTTCTTGATATCTGATCCTACATAATATACTTTCTGACTGTAATTGGTGGATTTATTTGTATTATATAAATTTTTTTATACAATTAGATTTATTTTAAATTTGTCTAAACTCGACCGAAAATTGTAGTTTAGGATTTTATTGTAAATTATTGAATGAGAATTCGTACTAATGGGCATAAATAATGCACATATATTATAACACGTGAATTAAGAAGGCCATTCCTTACGCAATTCAACAGTTTCCAGCCACGTTGTATTACAATTGCAAATGGACCGCTACGCTTTTCTGACGTGGAACGGATGTACCTGAAACTTGCATACCAAGTCGTTATGTTCTGCATCAGTCTTCACAACTAAAACCTTTTTTTTAATTTCTGGTATTCCCTCATTCCAAATTTCCAAGTAATTTCTTCGCGTCTATATAATCCCAAAGCCCCTCCTACCTCAAACCTCCTCCCCTTCTTCTACTTCGTCCTCTTCCTCTCACCACCGCTCTCAGCCATGGAAATTCCGGTGCTCAACATAATTACTGATCTTCCGTCCCGCCTGACCTCGCTGCCGGACCCATCTTTTCTATGGCAGAGTTTGTCGTTTCCCGGAATCCAAAACGTCTCTCAAGCTTACAGTTTATGGACATGGGGAGCTCTAGTCCTCGCAATTCTAGCTTCCTTCGGCACCCTCATCGCTATAATCAACATTTTTGTCATCGGTCTCCGCCGCCTCCGGATATTAGACCCGCAGCCGCTTAATCAGCAGCTCCACGACGGCGAGTATTCCGACGTCAGTGACGACTACGATATCTGCTCTGCTTCTTCGGCGTCCTCCTTATCCGATGAAGATTTGGAACCCGAAATATCGTTCGACGACGAAAGTAATTCGATTGGGAGAGATGAACAATTCCACGTCAAAGGCTCGGGTTATTACGGCGACGGCGGAGTGCAGAATCGTAATTTTCGACTCCTCCGCCGCCGAAGCTTCGGAGGACATCGATTCTCGTGGTCCGACTTCACGGCGGGCAATAGCGTCGTAAAGCTCTGGGACACATCGTCGCCGGCCACGTTTTTGTCCGCGGACCCAGCCCCGTCGGGGCTCGTGTCTCTGGGTGTCTGGGACGCGCGCGTCGGATGCCGGATTCCGGCGATACTCGCGGAGTGGGGCCCGCAGATCGGGAGAATAGTTGGAGTGGCATCTGGTGGCGTGGAGAAAGTCTACGTCAAGGATGGCGTAACCGGCCATTTGACGGTCGGTGACGTGAGGAAAGTGGCGTCGCCGTTAGGGAGTGTAACGGAGGCTGACGTGGACGATACGTGGTGGGACGCCGACGCCGTTGTTGTGACGGACGAATCAGCGGTGAGTGGATGTGACTCGGCCGTGATACGGTGTTGTAGCGCGGTTAGGTCTTATCTGCTGTAAATTATTAGTACGAAACAACAGAAATCAAATAATGCCAGGTCATTATTTTGTAAATATCCTTTAATATTATTTACCTGGATTTACTATTTTTGTTTACCTTTCAATTTGTTTTTCTTTAGCTTGTAATCAACAGAAAAATGGCAAATTACAAGCTTCATACTAGCTTCCTCTGGTGATGGAATCGAGATCATTTCTGGATCTCGTAGTTTGAAGCCAATGAAGAAAAATTCGGACCAATTATTTTAAATTGTATGGCCTCATTAATCATTTCACTCATCTATTATACAAACTAATGGTCCAGATCTATCTTTTCCTATCTTGAACAGTTTGGATTACTCTATCGTCAGCTTATAACTGTGAGATCCGAAGAGGACTTGAATTCCTGGTGATGAAGCCTTGACAGTTGAGTTGATAATCTTCTTCTTTGCCGCGTGTTTTGGTTGTTAATTGTTAAACAAATATAAAAGATAAATTGTGTATTATACAACTTCAATGTTGAACGTGGCCGGAAAGAATCTCACCAACCAAATAAATGTGTATGCTTGTGAAAATAAACAGAAAGATGGATGTCATCTACGATGCCATTGTTTGAAAGTACAATTGTTCTTCAGGCATGCCTCATAAAAGTAGAATCATGCTTCGTCGCCGAAAAGTCAAATCACAAATGAACATGTATCTGAATAATTAAAATTGAAAACTATAATTAGACGCTTGTTCTTTTGTGATTGTGTTTCAGCAGCAAAGCATGGTTCATAAAAGTAGGTAGCAATGCCACTAAAGCAATGGTTTCAACATCATGCTACAATTCACATAATATGTTGTGCTCTCCCTTTAATCAACATCACATTATCTAGCTTTCTGGAGCATGAGAATCCCGAGAGGGGCAACAAATTTACATAGATAGAAAAAGATCCATATCTTTTAGATGTTATGGTTGAGCAATAAACCGTTTGCCTCCAAAAAAAATAAAAAGAAACATAATCGGGACTACTCAATCACCCATATATATACATACACGTACATATATATAACTTGGAAGTGTTAGAGTGGCTAGATCAAGCGTCTTATTCTTCACACTTCCTACGAGTTTGTAGAGAAGAAGCTTCAATGTATCTTGTATAGCACTCTTGTATTTTTTTATATAATCCGCCTTATGGAGAAGAGAAATGCAACCTGAACATCCTACGTTTTTAGAAATTTCCACGTATTTTAGCAGGAAGTTTAATTTTCTAATGATAGATAGGTCCAGATTTCGCATGCTTATCTTATGCTAAAAGAAAGATAAATAAAACAGGTGTCTTACTCTTAGACTTGGTCCATGAATAACACAAAGGTAACTTGCAGGGCACAACTAGTTACGTGACCATTTTTATATTTTCTTCCCACGAAAATGAAAACGCACGTCGTTTCCCAGAATCCCACAGTCCCACATATTATTTTAGTACCAGGATGTACTGTAGGCGTTGTCAAAGGGGGCTCCCTACGCTTTGAATCAAAGGAAAACTAATGAAAATAGTTTGAAAACTTTGAGTTTTAACGGTAATGACAAAATAAAGAGTAAAGTGAATAGTACCAGGTTTGACTTTTTAGTGTAAAAATGTGGTTTTTCGTTAAAGTGAACATTACCAAAATAATGAGCAAAGTGAATAGTATCATGTTGCCAACACAATGTTATTTATCCAAACTGAAGATGTGTTGGTGAACAAGGGAAAAATAAAAAATCTCAAGGTGTTTGAGAGGTTTCACGTAGAGCGAGAGTTTGCACAGTGCAGATTTGTGTGTTGATTTGGAGGGGCTTTGAATGATACCCTCCCCTTTCTATTTATAGTAGCAGTTTCGCATGGTCGATGTAGAGTCCCACTCGAACTATAATTCCTTGGTCGAATCCTACTAGGTTTCGGCCAATCCTAGTTCATGTAAGATTTTGAATTCCACCCTATTATCCTCCAGGTTCAACCCTTGATTCTTGGCATATTTTCTTATTCGAAGCATAACTAACCTTTAAGGACTCCTTGTTCTACTAGGACTCGGCCGACCCTTCTATTCATATAAGATTGTGTTAGGATAGGATTCGACCAAACCTCAATAGGCTGGGTTTTTCTTGAAAATATTATGAGATACCTGATGTCGTGTTGTTGACCCTAAAAACTACCAAGCCTACGTGGCGCGCAGGCCGAGTAATCTATAAGCTAACTACATCCTTCGGTGAATGCGGGGCGTGCTAACTCGTCGGCCGAGCTCGGCCGAGGAGTAAGTTTGTTGATGTTGCGTTGGGTGCGCGGCTGACTTCTGCGTCTTATGATTGCGACCGAGAAAGGAACACGTCTCGGCCTCTTGGGCTCTCGAACATGAAGACAAGGTTACTATTCTTACGAAGTTCACGAATCGCCGTCGTCGGATTCGGTCATAGTGATGTTATTCGTCAGAGTAAACTTTCGCCGAATCGACACCAAAGTGTAAGGGCACAAATACTCAAAGCGAATATAAGTCTTAATAGTGAACATGGTTCGGCCGTCTGAATGCCGAACTCTAAATCTCACTTGGGAGTATCCAATCATAAAATAACTCGGCGTGCAATGCGCCAAGCTCAATAAACTGTAACACCTCACTTCGCCGAGAAGGCTAATGAGATGACCTCAATCAATAAGGATCTGGAACTCCTTCTCGACCGAGACTTAGGTAACCAATCGTCCTCGCCGCAGTGCTGTTGATGCCAACGGAAGATATTGCGAGACTGGCTGATTCTACGATGACAGAGCTATCGATGCCGACTTAAGATATCACCGGTTGCTTTCACAGTGCTGTTGATGCCTACGGAAGATGTGTCAGCGAAAAGAGAAAATAAAAATCTCAAAGTTGTTGAGAGAGTTTGCGCAGGGCAGTTGTGTGTTAAATTGGAGGGGGCTTGAATGGTGCACAGCCTCCTCTATTTATAGCATTGGATACCTTTAAAGCCGAGTTACAACCCTACTCGGACTAGGTCTTCTTCTCCTGATCAAACACCAACTCGACCAGTCCTATTTTCACTATAATTGTGAACCTAGTCCTTTATCGAGCCAAATTCGTTTCCGGGTTATTGATCTTGCCGGGACTCCTCATTGCATCAGGATTCGACTCGTCTTGCGGTATGGCATAATCGACCCGGATTTGGAAGCCCACGACCTAACCGGTCCAGAACTAACTGATCCCTGAGAACCGAATCCTATTGTAAGGCCTTCTGGGCCGAGACTAATTCTATACTCGGCCCAAACTAATATTTTGGGCCCAAACACGTGTATACGGGCCGGGCCCATAATCACCCTCACCCGAAAATGTCATTTTGGGTCCAAACAGGATCTTAACTAAAACAAGATTCAATTAGCTACTAGCCTAGCTACATGTGGCATCGTCAAACCAGTATTCATGTTTTTCCAGACTACTCGTGTGGATGTGGTTGGTGGTCAAGTCAAGACTTGAGGCGTACAGGAAGTTGCACAGAGGGCTTCTTGTTTCTAATGCAGTAGTTGTGCAGAATTATAGAATATGTCAATGTACATGCGTCATAGAGTTTGATAATGCTAAGTACCCAAAACCTTAAGAAATTTCAGAAGGCTCAATATATTTAGTTTCCAGCTGCCAATGGTAACTCAATATATCCCCTAACCCAATCGAGGTTAAATGTAGAGATTTAAAATCCCAGAAATCCATACTTACATTTAAGTTAAGGAGTAAAAACTAATTAACAAAACAAGAACCATGAATGAATTAATGAATGAATTAAGCTATGAACAAGCAACGGACTTTTTCTATCAACATACAAAAAAACTGAATAAAAGAAACAGATAAAGAATCAATTAACCAATAAATTAACAGTGGTAGCAAATAACCAACTAGCTCGATTGGATAATCCTCTAGTTCTGCTTATTAGTTGTTCATCATGTAGTCAATATTCTGGGAGTCCTTTGATGAACTTGAACATTGATGGAGATATCGAACCGCCGAAGTTTGGAGACGCATGCGACGAGGAATCGGAGAATCTGTAAAGCGGCCTTGGCGGGCAGAAGAAATCCGCTGAATTATTTGAGGTCGGCGTAAACAATGGAATATCTGCAAAATACGGGCTAGGGTTGCTGAACATGGCATTGGGAGAATATCCGGAAGATGATGAGCTCCCCACTTGATGTTGAACATTATTAATCATACTATTATTATCGTAATTCCCACCACCACAATTAATCTCATCCGTCAGATCCGAACACGACTCGTTTCCATCACGGCTGCGGCTAATAGCAGATTTAGTAATGTCTGTATTGTCGATATGGTCGTCTTGACACGATGAAACTTTCACGTTTGCATGATCTTCATGAGTAGTGTCAGTGTCTTGTCTTTGGTCGTTGACCTCGTCGTGAGTATTATCAGAGCGCGAGAGGCCGGTGAGCTTTTGTACCAAAGCCATGAAATCGCGCGCCTGCGCGTGGATGATTTTCGGAGATTGGGTGTAGATGATCACCGGCTGCCGCTGCTGCTGCAGCTGCTGCTGGTGTTGCTCCTCCGTCTTGTTGGCGGCGGCCATGCGGGGATAGTTATTGGGAGGTTTGTGGATGAGATGGGAGCTTCGGTTGATCTTCAACGGGGAGGGACGGCTTCCGTTGATCATCATCTGGTCCCTCCTAATTGATGAATGTTGTACTTGACGATTATCATCCAGCTGGAACTTTGCAGGGTTCATGCTCAATGATCTGTTACCTAATTAAGCTAACTAACTGATCTTAGGTAGCTCCAAAATGAAAGGATCAGTTAATCAAGAAACTAATTAAGATGTCGAACTAGCAAATAGAGAGAGAGAAAGAGAGAGAGAGAGGATGACATTAATTTGATTAGAGGGAGAGAGATGTGTGATATATAGAAGGAGAGTATGAAAGAAAGAATGGAAGCCAAGCCAACATTTCTGACCGTTTGACATTTATCATAGTTATATACAAAATAAAGAATAATACTATTAACTGGGAAGAATATTGGCAATCTGCTATCCCATTCGTCCGTTGCCCTTTGCCTTATGTTTGAGGTTTGGTTGTCCTCTTGGGCGCCTTTGTCGGCTGCCACACGCAACGCCGGTGCCGCTCGGTCAAACAAAACTATTTTTTTTTCTTTTCTTTTTTTCTATTTTATTAATTGTGGCTCTTCTGCATGCCTAGCTCCTTGGTGGTCACACACACACACATATATATATATATATATATATATATAATTGAGAAATTGTAATATATT